ATATTACAATTTATAAAATAATATATATATTACAATTTATAAAATAATATATATATTACAATTTATAAAATAATATATATATTACAATTTATAAAATAAAAAATATATATATATATTAAAATTCACCAAAATACATGGAATACGGACCAAAGTACGTACGAGAATGAGCCGAGTCGGCGGCAGCTTTTGGCCACGACGTTGTGGGTACGATGACGGTGTTGGCTGGCGTGGATATGATGCGCGTGGCCTGCAGAAGCGTCGGGGGCGGGGGCTGACACGGAGATAATGTATATGATAGCACCACCGAGGTCGTAATCGGTGAGGTATTATTCCCAGGGTAAAATCCAAGCTCAAGTGTCGGCACGACCTCCGAGTCAGCGTAATACTAGCTCAAGAGGAATGAAAACCACCAAGATATGATACTTGGTGATATAGGTTGGTTTCTTGGCTTTTGTATAGTATACCGTAGACAAGATAAACGCGATCAAGTCGTTTTGCGTTGCAGTTGAAAGCAGCGAGAATGGGGTGGTTTCGGATGTCCACGGCGATTTGAAGTGGACGGTCGTGGGCAGCTGCACATTTGACAGTATATCTTGGACAATGGATGGATATAACTCGAGGCTCGGATATATCGACGTGGTTTGCTACGTAGTACGTACCATAAAAAAATTAGTATAATATATATTTTAAATATATATATATATATATTTACTTGTGTACTACTAGTATGCACTTTCAATACCATAGTATAGAGCTCTATATATGACCAAGCAAGAGACAGAGAGATGTATGTGGCTTGACATCGATCGTAAAAAATAATCACTACGAGTATATATATATATATATATATACTCGTAGTGATTATATTTAGTAGTATAGTACATGTATACATGTACTATAGAAACATATGAAGTACAAACGTACGGGCAATGCGAGGGTTCCCATTGGACACTGGTTCACAGCTATACACTGGAGACCACGGACGTATACCCCCCACGCGGCATACACTTCCCTTGTCATCGCACTCTTATCTTGGTCATATGCATTGCCAACGTAGTCCACCGCCATGGATGCATTCGCTGCCTAATGTCCATCATATTATCTCTCTCTCTCACTCACAAGGTCTGCGACACTGCATTCCCATCGATATATAGATCTTCCATGATATATATATATATATATCAATAATTTGTTGAAATAGAATAGGTCTTGTATATATATATATATATATATACATAATTTGTTGAAACAGAATAGTTCTATATAGACAATTTACAACAAAAGCAGATCCCTCTTGGTGCATCAAACATATTATTTTTATACATATCATTTGTTGAAAAAATATAAATATAGATTGTGGAACATACCTATATATATATATATATATATATATATATATATATATATATAATTCGTTGCAAAATAGGGTAAAATATATATCGTAACTAACATAGCATGCACACACACACACAAGTACCGTCTCGAGCGACGCTTGCAAACACGTGTCGAGCTCAGGTTGGATCGACACACCAATGAATGACGGATCGGCTGCCAGCTCCTCAAAGTACGACGAGCCATAGGGCACAGACGGCCCGCCGCCGCCGCCGCCGCTGGTTGAGATGTGCGCATGGAGGCATTGCATGACCAGATCTCGACAGATGCGTTGGTTGCGACATCGTTCAAAGTGTTCTTGGCACGCCACGCACACGGCTACGCCAACCAACCCCATGAGATACAGTAAAACATAAATTTGTGATATTTTTCACCACGTACGATGGACAGGTACAAGTTGGTTGGTGGGGATGGCTGGGGGGTTCCGCAAGGTTAGCACGACCGTGGAGAGCCCCACGAGTTGGTACGTGGCTGCGATACTGTGGGGAGGCCGGACGTTCACAGAGACCTGGATGGCTTGGGCGTCTGCGACACTGTTGACGCACAGAGTGACGGGCGTTGTATTGGCTGATGAGTACACTTGGTGAAGATGCAGACACAGTTGGAGTGAGTCGAATACCCCCAAGGGAGTGTAAAATGTCCAGAAAGAAGTGGCCGCCGCCGACACGATCGGTGCGACAGGGTCAACGTCGTTCAAGTACATGTGCACGGGGCTGTGATACGTCATGTGATCTACATACACCATAAGTGAAGATCCAGAATGCATTATATATATATATATATTGTCAAGTCGATTTGATATTGGTGCTCAATATTGAATGGACCAAATCGGTAGACAATCGAGCATCGACCAATCAAAACACAAAACTTGAATCAAGTAGCCAATCAAAATCCACTCTTGGACCATTTCACATCAAATTAGTGTGAGAATGAAATTAGTGTGCAGGGCGACACGTTTTACACACAAAATTCAAAACAAGAAATCGATCGATGGAGTACGTAAATCAGCACAAAAATTGGTTGAAAGCACCATATTACGATCAAACACGATGCACAATCCATGTCCATATATATATATATATAATAAATATCTAAATAAATATATATTAAAGAAATAGATCTCAACAGCAACACGATACCCTTTCACATCCAATGCAAAACAACACCCAGTACTTGTATCGCTTCGTTTTGATCATAAAAATCATCTCGTGTGCGTTATAAATACTATGCAAACTCCCAACAACGACGCTATAATAATATCATGCACCGACGAATATATATATGTATATATAAAAGATAGACAAACCGAGGTAGAAGGCATTTTGGGCAAAATCTGGCGCCGAGAGCTGAATATGTACGGACGGACGCGCCACGTCGTTACTATCGGATGTCAGAGCCAAATACTCTGACTTTTTCAGAGGGCGGCGGAAGAAGGTCGTGTGCACGTCGCATCCAAATGTATCGGATGGCGGCAACGAAATGGACGGCGGCGGCGGCGGCGACACGAGCCAGCGGACTTCCGAAGTGTTGATATGGGGCGTCAATACCCATCTCTCCAATTGAATCAACCACCGCGGTGACGACAGCAATACGCCAACACCTATACAGTACGCCATACATAAGTTATGTTGTCGAAATATATATATATATAATATATACATGCCAAGGAGATATATATATATATGTACATGCCAAGGAGATATATATATATATATACATGCCAAGGATACATATATAAATGTCTGGATTACACCCACCCTCCACTTTTTGTCCAATTTAAATTTCGACAATATATTTGTTCAAGTCATTCGAAGACTATGGTTGTCATGCATTTGGAACTGTCTGGATCAATCGGATTTTCAGGCTGTTGCCAACTTTGTGAGAAAAATAAAAGTCCCTTAAACCGCTTGTTTATAATATTTTTTGGCGCAAATGTGATATTTGGCAAATGTTGAATTCTCCAAAGTTTAGAACCAGACATAGAATTTTGCACTTTTTGCTAATTTGTTCGAAATTGCCAAAATATCGAAGATTTTGGCCTTTCTTGACATCCAAACTCACCCATAATTTATATATGGTCGAAAAAAAGATATCTACATATGTCTAAATGCATACTAGGAAATATGTGAATGCATACTTATCGTTGAGCCAAGATAGCGACGTATAGATATAAATACTGATGAAACATTTATTCGTATATATGGGTGAACAAAAATATTTACATATTTATATAAACGCCAAGGAAATATATATATATGGTTACACAAAGGTATTTACATATTTATATTAATGGCAAGCATATATATATATATATACATATATATAACATACGGTTGAACAAAGATGTCTACGTATTTATTCAAATGCCAAGGATATATATATATATATATGGTTGAAAACAAGATAACATAATTAATATTTAAGCCAAAAACCAAGGACATACATAACCTTGGCATTTACATAAATACGTTGACATCTTTGTTCAACTGTATGTATATATATATAAATATATAAATATATGAATATATAATATATAGCGAATGACGTATATAACCTTGGCATTTACATAAATACGTAGACATCTTTGTTCAACTGTATATATATATACAAATATATGAATTATAATATATATACATCTAGTTTGACAAAGATAATTTAAAATACCATCGACTTGAGCTTGGGTCACACACGAGACGTCGAAAGAGACTTGGACCGTCGTAGCGTTGAGCACATCGTTGAGCACATCCACTTGAATCAACTGAATGTCGTCGGCGCTACAAGGACATCCATATATTTCAACATTTCATTAATCAAAATATTCCTACAAATATATATATATATATATAGCTCGCATCACCCAATCACTGCGATTCACACTCATCATCCTGTTTTACCCCTCGCCCGTCCGTCGCCGACATTAACATTGTTGTTATTGTTGATAACATGCATATATATATATATATATATATACGTACGACAGGCCAATGTACTCGAGCGTCGAGACGACTGCTAGATGGACCCAATGGGCTAAAAACGAGTCGAACGTCGGCACTTGCACCTCCACGTACACCAACGCCACGACCGCACTGTCTCCCTAGTCATTTCCAAGAAAATGTGTAAAAATAGGCAAAAAAAGTTGATATTTTGGCAATTTCGAACAAATGGGCAACACATGATTCAATTCAATACGTGGAGAATATACAACATATATTGCCAAAACAAATACCACACATTTCTCCAAAAATATATATAAAAATGAAAGTCAATAGATTTATTATTTCGGATACTGTACGTATTTGGCAAAATATGCGCTATTGGTGTTTATAAATTCGAAATCTGTTGAATCCAGACCATCACAACCATAAAAATGGTTCCAATTACTTTGAATATAAAACAAATTCAATTTTTTAAATAGATTTGAATAAAATACAAAAATTATATTATTCCTTGCGCAAACATCACAGGGGAGGTGATCCATCTCCAAGTCATTTAAAAAGAATAGAGAAAATGCTCCAAGTATCTAGTATACACACCACCGCTGGGGACGGCACCAGCGTGAGTTGAGGCGCCGACGCACACGACAGCGGCGACTCGACCAGCCCCAGCTGCGTGCTCATCTCGACCATCGTCGTCACTTCTACTTGCATCTCCACGACATCCTCCAGAGGAAACAACAGCGTTCTACACACGTGTATATATATATATTATATATATGGTCATATATATATATATATATATATTATATATATATATGGTCATATATATATATATATTATATATATATGGTCATATATGAATAATGCGTAGTAGAAGTCTGGCGGCCAGCCATGTGGTACCCTGAAATATAGTATTTTAATATTCAGCTGGCCCAAAACGTCATGTTGGAGCCAAATTCATTCCATCGGATATGAATCAAAACCTGTCTTGGTTGCTTGGTTTAACCGATATAATTCAATCATTTTCCAAGTGGGATTTATTTACTCGTTGAGAAGATTCAATATTATTGTTACTAACGTAAAAAACCAATTTAAGATATAACCAATTTAGGATAACTTTGTATTGCCCAACCACACCTCGTTATTTGTTCGTGTCAAAACCTCTATCATATAATGCTGGCCATTCCGTCACGTGAATGCAATGCAAAAACGGCGTAGAAGCCATTGGTAATAGTCATTCAAGATTGGGTTGAAGTTCCCTAGTCGACACGGGCCACATTGGGTTGGATCTGAGATTTTGTCGAGTGTTAAACTCGGTGGACATCCATCCACAACAGAAATTTAACTCTATAAAACAGTACCTTTGTATAAATTATATGCAACCTGTTGTAACCGCTTACCCTAAACACAGAATTTCAATGCTCAGACACATACATACTTTAAGATAAAAAAAGTTATCCTAAATTGGTTATCAAAATGTGAGTACAAATGCTTAGAAAGTAACAAATTTACCTGTGAAGTTCATCGCCTAAACTGATAGTTTGATTATGAAGTCAAAGAGGCGCGTCTTGTCTATTGGAATCACTATTGAAAACTCAAATATCGTAACGGACTCAAAAGTTATGTCCATTCTACTCCGACGCCTCCAAAAAAGTTATCTTAAATTGGTTTTTTACGTTACATGAACTTGTGTTCCCTCCGTTTTGAAAATGGCATTTTTATTTATTTATCCCATTTGGCCAGAAACAGGAATACTATTGTTTTTTAAATGTTACCAGACATATAAGTTTGCCAAAATCATAGCCAACCAGAAGCACATGTCGAGTTCGTGACCATATATATATCCTTGGCTTTGGCTTAAATATGAAGTATGGAGATATCTTTGTTACCACCAAATATATATATATATATCCTTGGCATGTGTACTAGTATATAAAAATGTAGATATCCTTGTTCAACCATGTCGGGTATGGTGGATGGATGTCCTGTACCTGGTTCTAGTCGTGTTAGCCAACAATGGGAAACCGGACGGCGGTGGGACCTTCACATACAGCGGCAACCGAGACGTCGGGTGTCTAATTTCAATGCACGTCAGTCCGTGTATTTAGTATATATCTACTCGTTAGTTGCAAATACTAATGGAAGGGGGTTAGTATGTACATACAATCGAAGCAGCGCAGGCAGCGATGCAAACTCAAACGCTTCCATGAGGAACGGCATCCCGCGGGTCCACGTCGATGCATTCCACGCGCATCCCAGAGTCACATTGAGAAAGCATGGCCAAGTTGGTCGAGCACTTGGTGGCAGGGGAGATGGCTGCCAAGAACTTAACGGATCCATCGACATGGCCAACAGAGTCATCGTTGGCTGCAGCAAAAAATATCAGCATTCCCTTCATCAGTCACATCCATAACGACTAGTCCAAGGCTGTAAACACACACCAATTATATATATATATTTATTCACAGGCAAACACGATATCATAGTTAACACGCTAACCGCTGCAGCTTTTTTGAGCTACTGTACGTCTGTCGTTGGAACGAGAAGACGAAACAATCCACGTAGGCATGTATAGATAGGACTACAAATAGTAATGAGGTACACTATACATAGTAATGCGGTGTACTTTACAGTGTTAGTACGTACTTAGGTAGTAGATACAGTACATCAAGTACCAATAGGACTAGGTACTTTGGTACGAAAATAGGTAGATACAGTACTAATAGGACTAGGTACTTGTACTTTAGTACGTAAATAGGTAGGTACAGTACACCGAGCACTAGTACGTAGTACTCCAATAGTAGTACTAGTAGTACAAAATAGAAACATTTGATTCGTACGTTGGAGAGGGACAGGTGGGAGCGGAGGGGGGACATGGCTTGTTGAAGAAACTGATTTATGACGGAGCGCGTGCGCGCAGTGGCCGCCGCAAAGTCCACCGCCACCTCCGACAACGAAGCCGTCAACGTCACTCGAAACGTATGGGGGCGGAGGGGTACGTGGCCGTGGAACGTTTCGAGAAGGGCGAACGCCACGTGTTGCGCGTCGATGCCATTGCACTGGCGAGCGGAGCTGCGGAGAACGGCGATGTCTGGTCGGCACGTGGCTGTGAGACGCAGTGTCACGTACGGGTGACGCAGGAACGGGGGGAAGGAAATAGGCAGCGTCGCATGCACTGTGATGGGATCGGAGGCGTTAGCCGAAGGGAACAAGTGCGCTGCCTGCTTGAGACTGGCGAGAGATAGAGGCGAGCTGTTGTTGGGCGAAGTTGATGCCGCGGACGAGTGCAACGCGGTCCACAGGGCGTCGCGTTGGCTTTCCACGGACAACGGCATGGCCTGTTCGACTTGGCAAGGGGACAAGCATGTGACCTATACATTTGACGGATATGATCTCGAATTCAATGTACGATGGAAAGATTTGCCGTACGGGGAAGGCTGTGACGCATGCAACGAGGGCGTCGGTGGCGGACGACCCGCCATGAATCTCCCCGACCACACTGGATGTCGTACCGGAGATGCAGCGCCACTTGGCGTCCAGGGTGAATTGCAGATCGATCATGACAGTGCTCGGCGCGTCAGCGTCAGCGCCGGATGTATGCACCTCCATGACGTCGATGCTGGCCTGCGGTCTCAACGTCAAGGTTGATAGGACATTGAACAACACTGGCTTCGCAGACACGAACTCGTTGAACGAGATGTCCTTGCCCAGGTACAAGGACACGTTATACGTGGGTGGAGGAAGCTGCTGTTCAAGTAGCAGAAGCGGTGAATCGGCGCGGCACGAGTCAATCTCGCTGAGGGAGATGTCGTCGGGCTGGTAAAGTACATTAGTACCTCCTGTCCACGACGCATATGCAAGCTGCACGCAGCATGCAAGGACAACGACATGAACCACCGTGATTGCCGACAGCATCCTGGCAAAGATCGCTGCAGCTTGTCACTTCAACCTGATTCGCCGAAACAACGTGTTTTATTCGTCAAACGATTCAAACCAACCCTAAATAAGTTATTTCTCGGTAGGGAGAAAGGAGACATATATTTCCCAAATACCTTACACACATAACATCACATCCAATATCACCTACGATAATATACAATCTTCAAGATATTTGGGAATTTCCTTGTTGTTCTACTATTTAAGGTATTTGAAATTCCCTAGATAAACAGGAATCCGGTCCCATGACAGTATGTTTCGGTTTCTTTACACAAAGAATTGCTTGATTGGATAGAATGGGCTATTTTTAACGAATCAAATTAGTTTTGTCATTGCCATACAAACAGACAGTTGGGAACCGGCCCCAAATTCCCAATGAATCGGCAGTACTTATTGTCACAAATGGCTCTCGCATAAAAGGCACTTGGTGTTTGTATGCTACGAACCTGGACTGGTTAAGTTGGACCTGTACGGTAGGATATTGCCCGGTGGTGACTTCACCCAGGAAAGATTTTCGAAGTGAAATTGATTGGAGTTGATACGGCTGGGATATTGTATTACGATGGGCTGCTGCTTCTCCAAGGAAGACGAAGGCGGCTTTGAAGCCAAGGAGCACCTCCTCCCCAAAGGATCCAAGTACGTGCGTGCACTCAATGTGTCATATGTGTCATGCCTCTCATCTTGTGTATGTTGGGACCGCGTGTAGAGAAGTGAGTGCCCGTGAGGCGCCCAAGGACCTCACGTTGAACGCGCCATACGTGGCCCCTGAACTCCCCGCCAAGAGCCCTTCCCCAAAGAAGCAACAATCTGCTGCTGTTGTCAAGGCGGTCGTTGAAGTTGCCGCCAAGGTCCCCACGCCTACCACCATCGCTGCCTCCGTCGCCAAGCCAGAAACCCCCAAGAAGGCTCAAGTGGTTGCCGTCCCTGCAGTGGTCGCCGAAGTTGTTCCCGAAGTGGCTGCTGTCGTCGCTGCCGTCGAAGAAGTGAAGGCACCTTCGAGAAAGGCATCCATTGAACTTGCCGCCCCCTCGCCCAAGAAGGCAGTGTCACGCAAATCCTCTGTGGACAGCGTCCCTTCCTCTAAGGCCGCTGCTTCCCCCAAGAAGCCCCTTTCGCGCAAGTCGTCGGCGGCGTCGGATATCCCTGTCGCGTCCGTCGACGAAGAGGTTGCCGCCGCTCAAGTCGTGCCGTCGCCCAAAAAGTCCGTCTCGCGCAAGGCGTCTGTGGAAGCGGTGACCCCTTCGCCTAAGAAGGCCACCTCCCGCAAGTCATCTGCCGGATCGGCCGAGCCCAACGAGTACGTTGTGATGGATGACCAGTCCTCCAACAAGGCGCCGTCTCGCAAGGCGTCGTCGATTGACTCGCCCAAGAAGCCCGTCTCCCGCAAGTCGTCGGTGGAAGTAGCGGTGGTGGCGCCTGAACCCACCCCTGTGGAAGTCGTGGAGGTCGAAGTACCCGTGCAAGAGGTGGCGGTCGACGAACCCGTGGTCGCGGCGGTCGAAGAAGAATCTGTGGTCGAAGAACCTGTGGTTGCGGCGGTCGAAGAACCTGTGATTGCGGCGGAGGTGCCTGAGCCGACCCCGGTGGAAGTCGAAGAACCTGTGGCGGCGGCTGTGGAAGCGATCAAGGAGGACGCGGCGGAAGGCCAAGGCGATTCCGGCAAGGACGACGACGATGGACCATCCGATGCCCCCAAGTCCAAGAAGAAGAAGAAGAAGGGCAAGAAGAAGGGCGGAAACTAAGCGGGGACACAGTGTATCATTCCCATTTTTAACAACACGACGACCTACCCTTGAGATCGTGTCTTAGTCGTGCAGTAGTTATGGACATTGTGCAACATATGCAAGGCTCCTTCGGACGCTCCATGCCGCGATGCATCATGAAGGCACATGCTACCGTTAGGATCGCAATCTTGATGTGCACTTCGCTATTCTTTGTCGTTTGAAATTTGGCAGTTTCAAAGGGGGAAACCCCTATAAATGTATCCTTGGTCCGGATATGTTTCTCTGGAAACTAATATCCGGATGCGACTGCAAGGTGGAACTCGAATTCGAAGCCCATGGCGGAGTACAATGCGGCGGCGGTGGTATCGGCGCCGTCGAACCTGACGCGGTATGATGTGGTTCAGTCGGTCTTGACGAACAAGACGCTTCTACACATGATGTTTGTCTACCAAGATGGATTCTTCGGAGACCTCATGCCACGCGTGGAGGAGTGGAAGGCAATGCACCGCGAGTTCAGCGATTATCTGTTGCCACCACGATACGCTGCCATCTTAGGAACGTCGTCGAAGCTAAAGGTGTCCGGTGGCTTCGATCTTGGCATCAACTGGCTTGGTCGGGACCCTCGATTTCTCCTTCACATTTCGATTTTGGAAGACGACCTTCCCCTAGTGAAGCGGTGGTTGGCGTGCCGTGGCCGGCGGTACCTCACGCCACGGGCGATGGATTGCGCAGCACGATATGGCCGCCTGAACATTGTCAAGTACTTTCACTCGCAGCAATTTCCATGCACGAACCAAGCGATGATCTGCGCGGCGTGCTATGGGCATGCCGACGTCCTGTACTTTCTACACAACAATCGGTCCGAAGGGTGTACGTCCGAAGCGATCGATTACGCCGCCGAGCACGGTCATTTGGCGATTATCCAGTTCCTCCACACCCATCGCCGAGAAGGATGCACGTACGCGGCGATGAACGTGGCCGCGAAGAACGGCCACCTCGACGTCGTGGACTTTTTGCATCGAAACCGCGCCGAGGGGTGTTCGGAAGACGCGATGGATTTTGCCGCGCTCAACGGACACATGCATGTACTCGAGTACCTTCACGCGGAACGCACGGAAGGATGCACGATCTACGCCATGAACAACGCGGCGGCGCGGGGACATTTCAATGTCGTTCGATTCCTAGACTCCCATCGAACCGAAGGTTGTACGACATACGCCATGGACGAAGCCGCCAAGAACGGACACGTGGACGTCGTCGAGTACCTCCACACACATCGCTCCGAGGGATGCACGGAGAAGGCACTGGAAGAAGCGACGAGACGAGGACATTTGAGTGTCGTGAAGTTCCTCGTCACCCATCGCAACGAAGGGGACATCAAGCATGCCAAGAGTGTGGCGGAACAGCTCGGCCAATACGCCATCCTCAAGTATTTGTGTTCGTTGGAAATGTAGTTTTAAATGTACAAACTCGATTTTTATTCCGTGGTGGTGGTGGCCGTATAGAGTATCCAAGACATTTACCTTCTAGGAAATAGAATTTTGCAAGTATGTCGTTTTTTAAATATGAAGCGATATCGATTTGAAATTGATGCAAAAACCATGAATTATCATTTTAAAACCTTTTAAAACTCCACACTCCTTTGAGAACAAGGGTTTTTTGTGTTTTGGTCGATTGTTCCGACACCGATGAACGCGGCGGCACCGGCGGGATGGCGGCTGGAAGTCACAGAGGACATGCGCAAGGGAAAGATCACGGAAATGTAGCAACGTCATTCACGTGCATGGGACATGGTCTTGATGCATGCATGCGTAGGTACATCGAACTGCTTCGACTGTCGGGTGAGAACGACCGGCAAAAGGTGTGGCAGTCCGCGGCCAAGTTTGAACTGACGCTGTGGACGCAGTCCGTGGACAAGGTAGATATTGCATGCCGCATCCATCGTGAAGACTTACGAATGTGGAGGATATAGGCGACATACTGGACAAAACTGGAGAAGAAGGTGGCGGCGTTGAAGAAGAAACCCCAGCCGGGGACAGTCGCGCCACCCCTGCCAGCCGCGCCACAACAAGTGTCGTCTGCACCTTCGATTCCCCATCAGCAGCAGCATCAACAGGCGCCATCTATCCAAACGCAAGCCCAGTACTCGTCCCAAATGGGAGCAAACTCCATGCAATTCAACCAAGCGATGCTCATGCAGCAGGCAGAGATGCTGAAGAAGCAACAAGAGCAGCACCAACTGGCTGCGTTGAACCACGCTCGACAGCAGCAGGCTCAAGCTCAAGCTCAGGCCCAAGCCGCCGCACAGGCGAAAGCGGCGGCGGACAAGCAGCAGCTCCAGGAACAACAGCGTCTGCATGCACTCAACCTGGCTCGGCAGCAGCAGCAGCAGCAGCTGGCGACGGCACGCGCGGCGGCGGCGGCGGCGGCGCCGGTGTCCGTACCCACTCCGCCCATGGTATATATATAGATATTGTCCTTTTCCCCCAACTTTGGACTTTTATGCTGAATGTTCGGCAAATATCTATTGATTCTTTGTCTTGACTTTTGTATATAGTGAATGTCAAGTGTCCACACGAGTTGAAGTCACACACTATTTGCATGGTTGAAGTGAGAGTTTGATTGGCTACTTGATTCTTGATCTAGGTTTTGATTGGTCGATATATCGCTTGTATATATTTGGATATTCTGGTCAATGAACACCCCCCCAGTCAGTCCAATATGTCGAATAATCGACAATATATATTGTCGATTTGATACAAATTTGGGTAGAGGAAGGGTGCAATCGAATATTCGCCTGATCAAACCGATCCACAATCGATCTGATTGGTTCAATTTCATTGAGAAGGTTTTGATTGGCTAATAATTTTGAGCTCATCTGAAGTAGCCAATCAAATCGATTTAAATTCCAACGAGAAACCACTTTGCCACAACACAATGAAATTTTACTCGAAAGCACAATAGCTCTTTGGCATTTTCTCATGTGGTTGTAGGCCGGCCACACCCAAGTGCTGCACCAACTACAGCAGCAGTTTCAGCAGCAAAAGCAAGCTGTGTTGACAACCCAGCACAACGAACTGCAGCGGCTACGTCAGGCCCAGCTGCTCGAGCAAAACCACCTGGCCAACTTGCACTCGACGCAGGACACCCCCCCGGACCTGCGCCGCCTCCAGCTGACGCAGTTGCAGCAGCAGCACCTTGTCGCACAAAATAAGCTTGCCCACGAACACAAAGCCAAGACAGACGAGCTCATGCGGCGCCACCAGCAGATCCTCACGTCCAAGCTCACACCCGCAGGAGGAGCCGCCGTGCAGGTACCCGCCGCCCATGCCGACGCCGCCGCGGCCGCCCAAGCTCGAGCGCGAGCTCTGTCTCGACTCCAAGCCACCACACAGCAGGGGGTACGTACGTGGCACCATACATGTTGGTTCTTGGCCGTTGACTCCAAATGTGGGCTTTTGCGCTGATTCGCCAACTCGATCTATCGATTGTATGGAGAGATTGTCCTGCGTTACACTAATTTCAGTCGCACACTATTTTGACTTGGCCTCAAAGAATGGACTTGATCGGCCACTTGAATTTTGTTGTGGGTTTTGATTGGTCGATCTATCGATTGTCTGCCGGTTGATTGGGTTCTTGTGCTCTTTCTTCGATTGATTCACCAAACTCTGGACATAGCCGCCGCCAGCCGCCGCCGCCACGACGACGGCCATCCCATCATCCGCCGCCCCGTCGCCCGACGCGTACGGCGAAAAGCTCAAGCAAGTCAAAGCCAAGTACTGGAACGACCTCGAAATCGCCCAACGCGAGTTTACGCGCATCGCGGCGCAGAAGCCCCCCGCGGGCGCGGCCGCCCAGCAGACGATTCAGAACCAGGAACGAGTCAAAGTATTTCTGCAGAACTTGAAGCGTATCATGACGTTGCTGGCCCAAGACCCGGCCAAAGCCACGACCAACAACGTCGACATGCTCATCAAAGTCGAGCAGCACATTGAACGCCAGGTCATCCCGGCCCTGCTTCGTGTGAAATCCGACAAGTCCAAAAAGGAGGTACGTACTGATATATATATATATATGGTTGTGGTGGTATGATTTATGTCTGTATATATATATATTGTGCTTTCAGCCAAAATTTGGATTTTGTGTTCTGATTTACCAAATCGATCGATCGATTGCTTGTACTGAATTTTGTGTGTAACCCTGCACACTAATTTCAGTCGTACACTAATTCTTTGTGGAATGGTTGAAGCGAGGATTGGATTGGCTACTTGATTCATATTCTGTGTTTTGATTGGTCGATTTGGTCATTAGATTGAACAACCTCACTCCAAGTGTCCAAACTATACAAATATGATAAATAATATTTGAATAATATTGTTAATTATATATGGTTAGGAGGTAAAGGTGGACATGACCAAGCAACCTACGAGTACAGCCAAGACAGCAGCAGAAGCGCAACGGCAAAGCACGGCGCAACAAACTGCCGTCCAAGCCGACGCCGTACGCCAGGTACCGTTTCCACAGCGCTCTATATATTTGAAATATATATATATAATATATATATATGTCCTATGATCAATCGTTCCCATGTAGTACTCGCAAATATATAGATATATTCAGAAGAACGACGTAGGCTCGCGAATTGCAGCTGAAAAAAGCCGAGCAGTTGAAAGCCGAACACATTGCGCGGGCGCAGGCGGCCGCCGCTGCCGCCGCATCGTTGAAGGCGGAGCGGAAGGACGCCGAGTCCAAAGCGCTGGCTGCGACGCTCCAGCTCCAAAACAACAAGGACATGGTGCTGAGTCCGAACCAGCGGGCGGCGCTGGAGGAGCAGGCGGCGCGGCTGACTGTCCAAGCCAAGGACCTGATTGCGCAGCAGGCCCATGTGACATCGCCCACGAGTCGGGCGGTGATTGGCCAGACAGCCATCATGTGCACGCAGGAAGTGGCCCGTATCGCAGAGCATTTGGCGCAGTCGAAAGCAGCCCAAGCCCGCGGTGCCACTGGCCCCAAGTTTGCGTCGATCGTAGACACTAGTAGTACTAGTTCAGCGACGGACCGGCTGCTCCTGGCGGTGAAAACGTACGCCCGCGACAAGCCCGAGGTTCTGACCCAAGCCGCGCCCGTGTTTTTGGAGCTCAGCGTCGCCATCGGCGCCACAGTCACCACGTCGCATGTGTAGTTCATGGCCATATACAGGATATTAACTACTAGTACGTAGTACTAAACACCATTTTTCGGTTAAGTTCAGGATATTTCCGGTATATTTCTTCCAATGCACAACTGATTCACACGTTGTGCGTTATGTTTGCCAAGCATTCGATATATTTCGTCCTTACCATACTTCGTTGCAGTATATTTCGACTATTATCCGATATATTTTACCTACGACCGATATATTTCACACGTTGTTCAGTGGGTCTCAAAAGTCATCATACACCACCGAACAATTCGATACTTAAAGCAAGTGAATTTTGATATGAAATTTCAGAAAATATTGTAAGCATGGTGTGCCAAGACAGTTTGTCGAGACGAATTCATTGGTTTTTTCCTTCGTAGATGTTTAACGTTTGATTCCACGTAAGGACAGGATAAAAACAGGATTTAGCAGGAGGCAGAATCCTTTAACGCTGCTTTAAAGTATACAAATTTCAAGCTTAAATATGCGTTAAATAGGTTATTCATGGTGAGGCTTCAGAGAAGGCTCCTATCTCCATAACAACACAGTTCTACAGTTGCCATCACATGAAGATGTCCTTCGTAATGTACTGGGCAACAATATTACCATTGGAATTTACTCGATCTAATCATGTTTAGTATCGACTAGGGCGGTTCAAAGTCAAAATTTGTAACTTTTCCTTTCTTCACCAGTAAAACACTTGGTGTTAGTATGTGTATATTTATATTCAGTTCATTTTACAAGTTTGCAGCTTTGAACCGCGGGTGGTGCATAGCGTTTTGAACTCAGATATGAGTCGACGTGAATCCTCTACAATCCTACACCTTGTAGCTCGAGCTGTTCTACGGTCTAGCCGAAAACTTGGATGCCATGGAAGTTAGCGCCTGATGAGCCAGCGCGTTTATTTACTTAATTTGCATCTAAAATCGAAATAGATGGAACATCATTTGAAATATATTTGAACAACATGTGAAATGTACCGGATACTACTAGTCGAAATATACTGCAACAGGGTCAGGACGAAATATATCTAACGCACAAGGCATGAATCAGTTGTGCATTGGACGAAATATACCGGAAAAAGCCTGAACTTAAACGAAAAATGATGTACTACTCCGGAGTATGTAAATAAAATTACTTGATAACGTTAGTCTTAATATTTGGCCGAGAGAATTATGTCTGCCAACGAATCGAATTCCCTGTCTTTTTCCTTGCAACCAACGCCACTTGAAATATATATATATATATATCCGAAAAACCTATAAATCAATCGAAAATTTTCCGAACTGTCACCGTCCAAATGGAACTCTGTTGTTCACATTTCGACAAACATTATTATTACTATTTCGACTTGGTGCTTGTAAACGTGGTAACTTCCAATATACTTCAAAGTACTTCGTATACATCTCACGATTTCCAGCTTGAACTTAATATCCATTTATACCGTAGGTGGATTCTATCGTTCATACCATGTGCTTGGTTGCCTTGAATATGAATCCAAAGAAGCAAGAAAAAAGGAATACTCGTCAAACTTATTATTAGTGCCCAGAGTTTACACGAACGAAGTGTACCCGTCGCGGCGCGTGGTCTGCACCAGATAATGCGTACCCACAGCCAAGAGCGCGCCGAGCACCATAAATCCGACGATTTCAACAGCATTCGACTTGGTGCCCTTGTCGTTTTGCTGCGGGTACCGATATGGCGCCATCGGGTCCATGTACGTCTTACCGGGCCAGCCGGCAAACTCAGTCTGCACCAGCCACTCCTTGCTATAGCCTGGCGTCAACATTTGCGCCGGCTTCTCGCCCGTCGTGATGTACCCGCCAGAGTACTTGCCAACCAACACCCACGCCAACTTCCACCACGACGCGACCACGTCCGTCGCCAGGGCGTTGGCGGCGGCTTCCAACTCTGTCGCATTCAGCCGATCGCGCAGCCAGGACGCGTGCGCGGCAATCGCGCGGGTCTGCGTTTTGTTCATAACTTCCTGGACATCTTGACCGTTGATCACATCCCACCGCAGCATGCTCCACTGGTTCACAAAGTTGAACGCCCGCCTAGTCCAATATATAGATTAGCCAATCAGACCAACGAATGAGCGACTTCGTAGCCAATCAGACAAACGAGCAAAACATAGAGTAGCCAATCAGAGCATTGCACGAGCAAAGATAGAGTAGCCAATCAGACCAACCAATGAGCAAAATATAGATTAGCCAATCAGAGCATTGCACGAGTGACATCGTAGCCAATCCCAAGCGAGGATAAACAATAAGTCATCGTGACATACCACGCCGAGTCGGTGTTGAACACGGATTGGTTGCCTGTCACATATGACAAGGGTAAACTCGACTGCGCGCACGAGAACGGCAAAAACACCGAGCCGTGGGGACTGTCCTGCGCGTACCACGCCGTGCCGGCCAAATGGCTGGGCAGATGCGCCGCCGGTGGCTGGATCTGCAAAATGAACGAAAACATTGTACGAAACATTGCAATCGGACGCTCCCATCCCCCCGACATGTTTTGAAATGGACCGTCGTACCTATCCAACCAAAAAATATTAAAATCAAACAAGGTCCAAACAAGTCTCGAATCATAGTACCATAGTATCCAAGTATAATAATATCCAAATAGAATCATATCCAAATAGAATCATATCCAAATATAATCATATTCAAATAAACATCGAAACACATCCAAATGTAATAATATCCAAATAAAATAATATCCAAGTATAGAATAATAATACCCAAATAGAATCATATTCAAATATATATCGAAATATCCCTACCAAAGAGAACGCCAATTCTATCATCCTGATATTATATATACACATAGAGAGTGAGTTCACATGTCAAACAACTTTGGTAAAATCAACCAATCCCAAATGATCACACAATTATTCACCTGTCATACCATTCAAAACTCTCCAAAGCTCATCATGGGATCATTTTTATCAAGTGTACAGTACCGAATGGGCGCGTGAAACGGACCGGCACCCAGGCCTTGCGTCATGTCAAAAGGCGTGCCTTCGTAATGATCGCCCAGCAAATGCACCAGCTGCGACAGCGTCACGGGGGCGTCCACGGGCACACTGAACGGGTACGTGGTGAAGTTGACCTGGTAGCCCAGGCGGGGGTCCAGCTGAAGCGACGGCGCGACCGTGTCCATGATGCGCCAGAGGCGGCGGCCCGCGTACAGCGGCAGGATCTTACCGGGAAAGGTCGTCAAGTCGTCCCATGCATATGCCTTGGCAAAGTCAAACGGGTCGTCTACGAAACCAAAAACAAAATACATTATTGTCCCATTTAAATCTAATGTCCTATTGTCAAATCGATTCGAAACTGGACTAAAGGGATTAAACAACAGTCCAAGCCAATCAAATCACGCTATCCTGTCGAATTTCTGCCACTCCAAACGTTTGACTCGATTATTTGGAAAAACCATTTATATATATACTAATCTGGATTCGAATGCATTTGGCGAAATGACTCACAAGTCCAAATTTGAGGTGAAATACACTAAATATTGTGTTGTTTGACTCGTGTACTAAAACTTTGCTCCCACAACAAAATCGTCGCTTGACCTTCGAAATCGTATATAAAACAAAGTCTAAGAGGTACATATCTGGTTGACGGCACGACAAATTCAATTTCTTTTCAACCAATCACAAATAGCACCCTTCCTTCTTTTTAACCAATCAAAAATAGCACCCTTCATTCTTTTTAGCCAATCACACTACACTGCTCGATTTGTGGACGATTTTGATTTCCACAAAGTAACAGTTAGTGGCAAAGTAGACTAAAAAGCACAATATTAACTGTACTATTGTACCTGGAGAGTGCCACCCCATGTCTTGCGCAAACGATATGACGTTGGACGACGCGAGAAACGTCGAAGTGTCCGACAAGTTCATCTCGCGAATGACAAATGAGTTCGCGATCGCCGTCACGTGGCCGTCGGGGACGCGCTGTGCCGCCCACACGGCGCTGGCGTTGTGCGGTCCCGTGAGCACGTGAAAGACCCAGAGCTCGCCATACTTGTCAGAGATCGCCAACGCTTCGGCCGAGTCCATGTAGCCGGGTTTCTACCATCATGGAGAAACGGTTAGAAGACAGGGAAGGACACACATGAAGATGGATGTTACCGCGGGGTCGCCGCTGTCTTCGCTGAAGAACCCATACTCGACGGCCAGGTCGCCCATCGTCTGCACGGCACACCGCGCCGAATCGCACCGTTCGAGCGCCACTTTGGTCAATTCGGCAATGCCAAACAGGTTGAACCCGTACGGAACGTCCTTCGACCACCCCACCGTCTTGGCGGTGCACGTGCTTTCGGCAATGCTCAACTGCACCTCGTTCATCATGCCATAGTCCTGGTCAAAGTACGCAAACGTGTGGGGGACCTGCGGAATGTACCCAATCGGCGTCGATAGGGTCTGGTTGTCCACAGGGAAGTAGAGCGGGCCCCGATCCTTGGTCGTCAAGCGGGGATATCCACCAAAGAAGTTGTACACGGCACGCTTGGATCCGGGCTCGTGGTTGGCGGCTGGGACACGGATCAAGCGCGTGTCCGCGGCGCCCCCGCCGGCATCGTCTGTATGCGCCAGAAGGGACGAACCGTCTGCAGTGGCCTTATGCGTGACTCCAATGACCGTGCATGCATGGACACCCGAGAGGAGCGCCGTCGCGAGCACCGTTAGAACGTGCATTTCACCAAGAAAATCCCAAAGTGATGTGGTTGTGTGCTTCGTGGGTCAAAACTTCAACTGATATTATATTTCACAGGTTATGTTATCACACAATGAAATCCGCAATCGACATTTTATTAAAATGTCATTGACAAAACATTTGAGTCAACTGTGGCACAGATTCAAAATTATTTAAAAGCAATTTGTATTCATTTATGCAGGTTTCCGACAATCTGTACCATAACTTCTGAGTTTTCAACCACGATGGGAATGGATCGTCGTCTTAACCCATCACCGCCGCCGCGGACCTTCCATAGTACACCTGTCCTGCGGCGTGATATCAATGATCTCGACGTGCACCGACCGAGCGACATCGTTGGACACTTCGTACTCGCTGGAAGTCGACCGCATTGTACGCATGCCAAGTGCCACGGGAGTTTTGACCTACCATCATCTCGCAGTGCTTGCATTGATCGACCTCGAACACGTTCCCTTGACGACCAACTCGACCACTCTCTCTCTGCTTTCGTCCTATGTATCTTGACATCACGGAAAGTTGCGTTGATGGGGATGCAATCTGGGAATGTTAAGTATCACCAGTACACTGTAATACTGGCCATATCTAACATACTAGGCCCCAGTATACTAAGTCGGGTAGGCTCACGGAATGCCATGCACTCCTGTGACGCTGTCCATGTTGGCATTGGCTGCAAGTTCGACGCCATACTCGTGGACACCATTCTAGTTCGCACAGTGCCTAGCAGCGTCAGCAACCACCTAATCAACATGTCGTCGTACAAATCCTTCTACTCCTCACCATCCCAAGTTCCCTCCATACTAGCAGCCTCGATCGCATGCTCACTTGGTTCAATCTCGCCCATGGTGCCACGAATATGCATTCGTTGCTTCCCGTCGATAGAGTACCATGGTATTATATGTGGTGGTAGTCAACGACATTGAAGTATACAAGACTGGAAGTGGGATGTTGTTTGTCGCGAAGAAGCTCAAGCAGGCGCAAGTCATGTCGTCGGACCATTCTTCACATGGAAATGGGCTGGTAACGTTAATATGAGCGAAGCGACAAGTTCTCCGTGAGGTGTCTGCAGCGTACACGACGACAGGTCAACCCGCGGCGCGCCGCCTGCGGAACTTACGACAGTTACCCAACTGACGGCAAGCAAGACCTCTTCCACAAACGCGGCCATGGTGAGCAACTTCAACGGAGAACGCCGTTTCCATACACTATATTAGTGTGGCTTACACTAATAAGGCACCGTGGCATCCTGCACACTAATTATGGTCGGATCGTTTGAATGCATCTTATAGATGAAGCTCACGCACGATATTGTCGTTTAACCCAAAATTTGGACTCTTTTGTGCTGATTATTTGCCAAATCTATTCTTTGTACTAACTGTAAAGATCGTACGAATATTTGTGCTTTTCACATATTTTGCCCGTTGTTTTAGCTCCTAAAACCATCCAAAGTTTAACCTAAACCGAAGTTGCACTCGACGTAAAAGTAAGCTTCCCCACCGTTCTGTCATTGGCTGATCTAAAACTTGCGTTGTTTTACTAAAACTATTTCGTTTTATTAACTCCCTGGCCAAGC